CTCGTTCTATCATATTTCTAACCACTGATAAAAAAAATTCCCAAGTTTTAAAATAAATTGAATCTTCTTTCTCTTTCATCTCTAAGATTAATCTATCCATTTCTGCACATTCTAAAATTTTGGTAATTATAGCCTGATCAGATGGTGAATTTTCATTTTTTCCAAAATTGGGCAAATACTATTCTTGCAGCTGTTAAAACCTGTAGTATTAAATAATCATTCTCTTTACCATAATTAGATCCTAATATTCCTAGCAAAAACAATTCCGGTTTAAATTCTATCTGTATTTTCGTCATCTTTTCCAGCCATCTACGAATCTTAGACCAATATTTCTTTGCGTTAGGGCATGTCCACCCTAACGTATTGGATCTTTGATATTTGGAGACGGGGATGTGTATGGGCAGGGGGACAGATCGTCCTGCATTTACAACAATTCATTTAGTGACCGTTTGAAGTTACAACAGTACTGGAAAAAAAGGGACTTAGGAGCATTTATCACATTTAATGACCGTTGCAGCATCCCCAGGGTCATACGATTCACACTGGGAGGCTTGACAACTGACTCACATTTATGATGGTTCGCAGTGATCCCCTTTTGCAACCTTTTGACAAGCAAAGTCAACAAATTTCTCGCTTAGCAACATAAAACGTTTGGGTCAATTATGGTCGTTGAGGATCACCCGTATATCCCTGTAAGGGCTGGAGGGAGAAAAACTCTTGAAAATAATCCCTTTAAAACCCAGGTGGCTGAGATGGGGAGGGAATTGGATTCACACACACACACACACACACACACACACACACACACACACATGCTCCAAAAGATGCAGCTGCTTTAAAGAGTTTCAGAGAGTTCTGATACAGCCTTGTTTCGTCGTATCCTCAGGACACACCTTGGTGTAGCTGCAGGAAAGACTTGATTTTTCTAATGCAAAGCCAGTTGCGTTTAATATTACGTAGGGTTTGGCGAATGTAAAGCCAAGTTGGAACCGGTTTCTGGCTTTGCGTCTTCTTGAAATAAGACAGCACCACCTGCAGGATTAAACATAAGCAGCCGGCTACGGTATAATGTGAATTAAAACGTAGCTGAAGCGAAGGATTTTTAGGGCCACTTCCAAGAAAAATGCAGTAAGCGATTATACGTTGAAACGTTTCTCTTCTCCCCCACCCCTCTTCCTGGCTGGGATTTGTTTCCGTGCATCTTCCCCACAAGCGTCTGCACGAACAGATTATGACACAAGTGTCTTAGGGCCTTTTTCACCCCTTATATCAGTGGCACCTGCACCCCCAGAACGCTTCTGATATATTCTCGCACTCCTTACAAAAGTTCGAAATAACGGCAACGAATTATGCATATACACTATAATTTTGAAAACTCATTAAATTTTCACACTCCCTGGAATATCGTCTCGCACACCCCAGGGTGGGGTGAGCACCCGTGGTTGGGAACCTCTGCCTTCTATTTTTAAATGGGAGCTGCAACTGGATAGTGTATGGATCATCCTTGATCAGAATTCGAGACAGCCGTGATTCTCAGCTCTGTTCTTACTTTTTGTTCCTAGCAATTAGTGTATGGTGGCTAATGGGCTGGCTTTATTTTTACTGGCCAAGTTGGGATCCCACCCCCCCATCTTCGAATTTTTGCAAAGGGGAGGGAGGGAGGATGCAAGGAACGGAGAGAGGGAGGAAGGAAGGAAGGAAGGAAGGAAGGAAGGAAGGAAGGAAGGAAGGAAGGAAGGAAGGAACAAGGGAGGGGAGGGTGCAAGGAACGAAGGAGGAAGGAAGGAAGGAAGGAAGGAAGGAAGGAAGGAAGGAAGGAAGGAAGGAAGGAAGGAAGGAAGGAAGGAAGGAAGGAAAAGGAAAGGAAGGAAGAAGGGAGGGGAGGGTGCAAGGAACGAAGGAGGAAGGAAGGAAGGAAGGAAGGAAGGAAGGAAGGAAGGAAGGAAAAGGAAAAAGAAAGGAAGGAAGAAGGGAGGGTGCAAGGAACGAAGGAGGAAGGAAGGAAGGAAGGAAGGAAGGAAGGAAGGAAGGAAGGAAGGAAGGAAGGAAGGAAGGAAAAGGAAAGGAAGGAAGAAGGGAAGGGAGGGTGCAAGGAACGAAGGAGGAAGGAAGGAAGGAAGGAAGGAAGGAAGGAAGGAAGGAAGGAAGGGAAAGGAAAGGAAGGAAGAAGGGAGGGGAGGGTGCAAGGAACGGAGGGAGGGAGGAAGGAAGGAAAGAAGGAAAGGGAAGGAAGAAGGGAGGGGAGGGTGCAAGGAACGGAGGGAGGGAGGAAGGAAGGAAAGAAGGAAAGGGAAGGAAGAAGGGAGGGGAGGGTGCAAGGAACGAAGGAGGAAGGAAGGAAGGAAGGAAGGAAGGAAGGAAGGAAGGAAGGAAGGAAGGAAGGAAGGAAGGAAGGAAGGAAGGGAAAAAATATATATGTATGGATATGGATAAGCCTAACCCACTGGATGAAAAAATGCCTTATTTTTCTGGATCCATGGTATCCCAGTAACAGATGTATTTTGATCCTTGTGGATTTCAAAGCCAGTTCTGCTGGATCTCGTATTTTGTCCTTTTGAGAAAAGTGTGTTGCATATTTAGGAAGATTCTCTCCCAGGGAATGGCTTGCTTTATATTATTATATATTGTGGGGGTCCCCGTTGCTCCCTGAGCTGGGTGGTTTTCTTGCAGATGTTTCAATACCCAACGAGGTAAAATCATCAGTGCTAGAAGGGCGTGGGGGTTTGCTGTCATACTAAATGCAGTTTTATATACTAGTATTTATATACTAATATATAAACAGATAACAAACCCAACTCCCTTCCTGGCACTGATGATGTTCTCTAGCTGGGTAGTGAAACGTCTGCCAGAAAACCACCAAGTTCAGAGAGCACCCAGGACCCCACAGTTCAGCCTGAGCTACAAATATTCTCTATTGTTATCTATTATTTGTTAAATCAAAAATCAAATCTATGCTTGTTCCCAGTCCTCAATCTGGAATTCCATTTAACATATTGCCTGAACTGTGTACTTCCATACAGAATTCCATGTAGTAGTAGTAGTAGTAGTAGTAGTAGTAGTAGTAGTAGTAGTAATAATAATAATAATAATAATAGTAGTAGTAGTAGTAGTAGTAGTAGTAGTAGTAAGGAGGAGGAGAAGATGAAGAAGGAGAAGGAGAAGAGGAGGAGGAGGAAGGAGGAGGAGGAGGAGGAGGAGGAGGAGAAGAAGAAGAAGAAGAAGAAGAAGAAGAAGAAGAAGAAGAAGAAGAAGAAGAAGAAGAAGGAAGAAGAAGAAGAAGAAGAAGAAGAAGAAGAAGAAGAAGAAGAAGAAGAAGAAGAAGAAGAAGAAGAAGAAGAAGAAGAAGAAGAAGAAGAAGAAGAAGAAGAAAGTTGGAAGGGACCTTGGAGGTCATCTAGTCCAACCCCCTGCTCAGGCAGGGAACCCTATACCAATTTCAGACAAATGGCGTGTTTTGGTTCAATTTCATCGTTCAGTTTAAAAGGCATGAAAAGCTCTAATTCTTCTCCAACTTGAATTTAATTTGAATTTGAAAACAAGGTGCCAAACTCCCGCAGGTCTTAATTTGGAAACCACTTTTCCCTGCAAACAATAAAATAGGACAAAGCACACCCACAAAAGGTAGGAAAGGTTGAAAGGAAAACAATGTCACACGGCTGTTTAAAAAGGGCTTTGTTGCTTTTATTGTTCAAAAAGAAAAATAACGTTTATTGTACAAAATGTTCACAGCCAAACCGAATGGTTAACGTACATTTAATGCACAGTTAAATTACATTTAATGTGAAAAGTGAGTCCATTTCCTCTTTGGCAGCTGATAAATCACACAAGCTGATCCATGAAATGGCAGAATTGTGTCCTACACCTGAGAAACGCTGATTTCAAGCGTATCGATGCTTTTGTGCAATTCCAAAGATTTCGGTCAACAGTTGAATACATGAATATTCATTTAAAGGTTTCCTAGCGGGGAGTGATGCAACTGGTTCTAGTACAACTCGTCATAAACCTGAAGGATACTTGCAAACAGATTTTCCTCAAGAACTGATCTGTAGTTAAATAATAATCCGCTGAGCATCAGATTAACAGAACTAAGATTTAGAGCAGAGGCGGGGAACCACGGCCGTTTTATGATTTGTGGACTTAACAACTCCCAGAATTCCTCAGCCAGCATGGGAACTATGGCTCTTTTATGACTTGTGGACTTCAACTCCCAGAATTCCTCAGCCAGCATGGGAACTATGGCTCTTTCATGACTTGTGGACTTCAACTCCCAGAATTCCTCAGCCAGCATGGGAACTATGGCTCTTTCATGACTTGTGGACTTCAATTCCCAGAATTCCTCAGCCAGCATGGGAACTATGGCTCTTTCATGACTTGTGGTCTTCAACTCCCAGAATTCCTCAGCCAGCTGGCTAAGGAATTCTGGGAATTGAAGTCCACAAATCATGAAGGGGCCAAGTTCCCATGCTGGCTAAGGAATTCTGGGAGTTGAAGTCCACAAATCATGAAGGGACCATACTTCCCCAACCTCTGATTTAGAGCAAAGACTGGCTGAGGTCATCCTAAGGATATCACGCTTTCATTTCCAAATTTAGGATCGGGTCTTGGATGTAGCAAAACTAGCTCTACCTGTGAGAAAGGAATAATATCAACAGAAGATGCTTTCCCTAATTCCATAGATATATTAACACCAACAACTAGAAGGATAAGTGACAAGGACAATGTGAAAAAGAGCACTGCTGACTAAGTAGAATAGTCCTTGACTTACAAACAGTTCATTTAGTGACCAAAGTTACAACGAGACTGAAAAAAGTAACATGACCATTTTTCACATTTATGATTATTTCGGCATCCTCCACAGTCACATGATCAAAATTCAGACACTTGGGAACTGACTCACATTTATGACGGTCGCAAGGTCCCCAGATCATGTGATCCCCTTTTTGCGACCTTCTTGACGAAGAAAAATCAATGGGGAAGCCAGATTCACTTAACAACCGTGTTATTAATTTAACGAGGGCAGTGATTCACTTAACAACTGTGGCAAAATGGGGCAAAACTCAGGTAGCAAATGTCTCACTTAGCAACAAAAATTGTGGTCGTAAGTCCAGGACTATCTGTACTGTACACCTGAAATGGGATATGTGGAAATATATTTTATATTTTCCTAAGGAATGCTATTGTAGATGGCAATCCTCTACATCCCCGTTTCTCCAGCTGAGCAGCTTTTAAGGTGTGTGGACTTCGAATCCCAGGATTCCATGCTGGCTGAGGCACTCTGGGAGTTGTAGTCCACACATTTTAACTTTGCCAAGGTCAAACACTACTCTATGGACTAGACCAGGGGTAGGCAACTTTGGCTCTTTTATGACTCGTGGACCTCAACTCCCAGAATTCCTGAGTCAGCATGGCTCAGCTTGGAAACTCTCCCTTTCCCCTCAGCATGGCTGGCTCAGGAATTCTGGGAGTTGAAGTCCACACATCATAAAGGGGGCCGTAGTTCCCCAACTCTACCTTAAAACCTTACCTATTAAAATGGCTGGCTCAGGAATTCTGGGAGTTGAAGTCCACGAGTCATAAAAGAGACAAGGTTGCCTACTCCTGGACTAGCCTGAGGGAAAAGATCTATCCAATTTATTGGAATGTACTTCTGAGCAGACATATTTTAGATTGAGCCAATAAGGCCCTACCTTCTTTTCCTAGCTGTTTTGATGCCCTTCAGCAATAGCGATCTTTCTAAAGAGCCATGAGTGCAGAATCTCAGACGGCTGAAGGAGCTAGTCCTCAAGTTACAACACTTCATTCAGTGACCGTTTTAAGTTACAACAGCTCAAAAAAAAGTGACTTACGACCATTTTTCACAATCATTGCAGCATCCCCGTGGTCACGCAATCAAAATTCAGACGCTTGGGAACCGACTCACATTTACAACGGTCGCAGGGTCCTGGGGTCACATGATCACCTTTTGCGACCTTCCGGCAAGCAAAGTCAATGGGGGAAACCGGGTTGACTTAAGCAACCGTGTGGCTAACACACGGCAAAACTCACTTAACAAGTGTCTCACTTAGCAACAGAAAATTGGGGCTCAATTGTGATCGTAAGTTGAGGATTACCTATATATTTATTGTCACAGTTATCCCGAAGAAAGAGGCGAAAAGTAAGGGTAAATTTGCACGCCTATCCTCTAACTAATTTCTCGGATACATCTCCAAAACTCAATCAGCAGCTCAATTGAGCTTGGAGAAATACATTAAAAAAAGACTTTGGGAACCAAGCAACAATTACAGTAAAAGCTGCAGAATAGATGTAATGAGGCAGTGCGTTATTTAGCAGCCCTTGGGACAACAGCAATAAATTAAGGCGAAAACATAGGCTCACAATTTTCCCTCTCCTGTTGTCAAGAAAACGAGCAGGATCAGACTAACCTTGATTTGGGTTTGCTTCGACCCAACGCCATGCGATGCATAGAAAAAAAAACACGCTTGGACAAAACCATTTTTGGTTTTTCCCATTTTCAGAGAGAGTTTTTCGTTAAGTTCTGCTTTGTCGGGGGGGGGGGAGGAGAACAGGCATGTTTAAAAACACATATATAAAATTGCAGGCAGCACATCCCAGTAGCCTTCGAAGGAGTAAATGTCACTAAATATTCCATTATTAACGATATGTTAAATTATCCGGGACCGAACGGTGCAGAGCCTCAGTTAGTGAAAGCTGCGCACGGTGCTGCATTTACGAATACCTCCTTGAGAAATCCTTAGGGTGCCATTTTTTTTTTCACCCTCCAGTGGTCTTTCTTGTTTTCTCCCCCTGCTGAAGACGAGAAGAAAAATAATATTGTTAGAAGTATCAAGCTGGCCATCCCTGCTCATCAAAGAAAATAGTTCTATGCAAGCCTGGACGTGATGCCCGTCTTCTAGGTGTCCATCCGCTTCCAGGTATAAGTCAAGACACTGGTTATCAACTAGTGGACAATCGCTGCAATGTGAGCCAGCTGTGTGCTGCAGCTGCCAAAAAACCCAACACAGTTCTAGGCTGCGTTAACAGAGGGACAGAATCAAGATCACGTGAAGTGTTAATACCACTTTACAAGGCCTTGGTAAGGCCACACTTGGAATACGGCATCCAGTTTTGGTCCCCACCATGTAAGAAAGAGGTTGAGACTCTAGAAAGAGTGCAGAGAAGAGCAACAAAGATGATCAGGGGATTGGAGGCTAAAACATACAAGGAACAGTTGCTGGAATTGGGGATGTCTAGTTTAATTAATAGAAGGACGAGGGGTGACATGATAGCAGTGTTCCAATGTCTCAGGGGTTGCCACAAAGAAGAGGGAGTCAAGCTATTCTCCAAAGTGCCTGAAGGCAGGACAAGAAGCAACGGATGGAAACTAATCAAGGAGAGAAGCAACCTAGAATTAAGGAGGAATTTCCTGACAGTTAGAACAATTAATCCGTGGAACAACCTGCCTCCAGAAGCTGTGAATGCTCCAACACTGGAAGTTTTAAAGAAGAGACTGGACAACCATTTGTCTGAAATGGTGTAAGGTTTCTCGCCTGAGCAGGGGGTTGGACTAGAAGACCTCCAAGGTCCCTTCCAACTGTATTATTCTCTTCTAACTTTCAACCCCTTCATGGCTTGGGACCAAGTTATTTGAAGGACCACCAAGTTATTTGAAGGACCACCAAGTTATTATTCTGACTGATCCACCAGGATCAGTCAGAATAGAGCTGGAAGAGACCTTGCAGGTCTTCCAGTCCAACCTATACTATTTCAGACAGATAGCTGTCCAGTCTTTACTTACCATCAAAACTTCCAGTGAGGAAGCACCCACAACTTCTGAAGGCAACTTCTGTTCCACTGTTCATTGTCCTCACTGTCAGGAAGTTTCTCCTTAATTCCAGATTGCTTCTCTCCCTGATTAATCTCCATCCATCGTTTCTTGTCCTACCTTCTGGTACTTTGGAAAATAAATGCACCCCCTCTTCTTTGTGGCCACCTCTCAAATACTGCTATCATGTCCCCCTAGTCCAGGGGTAGGCAATCTTGGCTCTTTTATGACTCGCGGACTTCAACATGGCTGGCTCAGGAATTCTGGGAGTTGAAGTCCACCAGTCATAAAAGAGCCAAGGTTGCCTACCCCTGCTCTAAACTAATAAAGTCTACATTAATTAACGTTAATTATACTTTCATATGTTCCTCTAGGTCAGGGGTAGGCAACCTTGGCTCTTTTATGACTTGTGGACTTCAACTCCCAGAATTCCTGAGCCAGCATGGCTCAGCTTGGAAACCTCTCCCTTTCCCTTCAGCATGACTGGCTCAGGAATTCTGGGAGTTGAAGTCCACGAGTCATGAAAGAGCCACAGTTGCCTACCCCTGGTCTAAACTAATAAAGTCTACATTAATTAACATTAATTATGCTTTCATATGTTCCACTAGGCCAGGGGTAGGCAACCGTGGCTCTTTGATGACTGGTGGACTTCAACTCCCAGAATTCCTGAGCCGGCACGGCTCAGCTTGGAAACCTCTCCCTTTCCCCTCAGCATGGCTGGCTCAGGAATTCTGGGATTTGGAGTCCATGAGTCATGAAAGAGCCACGGTTGCCTACCCCTGCTCTAAACTAATAAAGTCTACATTAATTAACGTTAATTATGCTTTCATATGTTCCTCTAGGTCAGGGGTAGGCAACCTTGGCTCTTTTATGACTCGTGGACTTCAACTCCCAGAATTCCTGAGCCAGCCTGGCTCAGCTTGGAAACCTCTCCCTTTCCCCTCAGCATGGCTGGCTCAGGAATTCTGGGAGTTGAAGTCCACGAGTCATAAAAGAGCCAAGGTTGCCTACCCCTGCCCCAGTCCTTCTTTTCTCTAGACTAGCAATTCCCAATTCCTCCAGTTTAATTGCTTAAAGTCAATAATATTTCTTTCGAAAAGAAAAACTTGAGATCTTCTGGCCCTGAAAGGCCTCGAGAACGTGTGACAAAAGATTTGGGGTTTACTCACCTGGCCTGGGCCTCCCATGAACTTTCGGTCCCAAAGGGCTATCCTGAATCAGATCTCCCACCTTTTCCGTGCTTGGTAGGTGTTGGTTTCAGCTCTTTTGATTCTGGGGTGAGAGGAACGGAAGCTGGCTGTTCCTTGGAGCTTTCTTTCACAGGGGTAGAGGGCACATCAGCAGCCTGGCCTCCGCTGATGGGCGCAAAGTATTTCCGGTCCTTAGAAGCAGACTTCTGTTCCACTTTGGTAACCCGAAATCTGGAACAACGCCATTAATTAAAAGGATCGTGAGTCCATCTAGCAGGGTTGGTGTTGTGGAAAATTTCAACTGATAGTAGAAAGGGTCCTTGGAAAAGACCATCCAGTCATTCCTGCCTCTTGCCCATTTTGGCTCGTTGTGTTTCCTATCTTCCTTTCTTCTTTCCTTCCTTCCTTCCTTCCTTCCTTCCTTCCTTCGTTATATTTCCTTTTTCTTTCTTTCTTTCTTTCTTTCTTTCTTTCTTTCTTTCTTTCTTTTTCTTTCTTTCTTCCTTCCTTCCTTACTTCCTTCCTTGTTGTATTTCCTTCCTTTCTTTCTTTCTTTCTTTCTTTCTTTCTTTCTTTCTTCCTTCCTTCCTTCCTTCCTTCCTCCCCTTCCCTTCCTTCCTTTCTTTCCTTCCTTCCTTCCTCTCTCTCTCTCTCTCTCTTTCTTTCAATTCATTGCCTTTATTCCTTTTACAAATACCTCAAAGGAGATGAACATACCCAAAATACCTTCCACCTATTTTTTTCCACAAGTGAAACATGTTGGACTGATAAAGAGTGATTGACTGCCCAAAGTCACCAGTTGACTTTCATGTCTAAGGCGGGACTAGAACTCACAGTCTCCTAGTGATTAGCACAAAGTCACTCAGCTGATTTCCATGTCTAAGGCGGGACCAGAATTTAATCTCCTAGTGATTGGTCCAAAATCACCCAGCTGACTTTCATGTCTATGGCAGGACTAGAACTCAGTCTCTTAGTGACTGGCCCAAAGTCAACCAGCTGAACTTCATGTCCAATGCGGGACTAGAACTCACAGTCTCCTAGTGATTGGCCCAAAGTCACTCAGCTGAACTTCATGTCTAAGGTGAGACTAGAACTCACAGTCTCCTAGTGATTGGCCCAAAGTCACTCAGCTGAACTTCATGTCTAAGGCGGGACTAGAACTCACAGTCTCCTAGTGATTGGCCCAAAGTCACCCAGCTGACTTTCATATCTAAGGCGGGACTAGAACTCAGTCTCCTAGTGATTAGCACAAAGTGACTCAGCTGACTTCCGTGTCTAAGGCGGGACCAGAATTTAATCTCCTAGTGATTGGCCCAAAGTCACCCAGCTGAACTTCATGTCTATGGCAGGACTAGAACTCAGTCTCTTAGTGACTGGCCCAAAGTCAACCAGCTGAACTTCATGTCAAAGGCGGGACTAGAACTCACAGTGATTGGCCCAAAGTCACCCAGTGATTGGCCCAAAGTCACCCAGCTGAACTTCATGTCCAATGCGGGACTAGAACTCACAGTCTCCTAGTGATTGGCCCAAAGTCACCCAGCTGACTTTCATATCTAAGGCGGGACTAGAACTCAGTCTCCTAGTGATTAGCACAAAGTCACTCAGCTGAACTTCATGTCTAAGGTGGGACTATAACTCACATTGTCCCAGTTTCTAGTCCGGTGCCTTAACCCCTAGGCCATACATCTGTATTTTACCTGAGTAGGCCTGGTCTGAGTCCAACAGTCTCATACAGGCTTTTCTCTCCTCTCCTTCTATCCCCAGATTGCAAATACAAGCCAACTGGGCCACCTCTTCTCATGAAACCAAGCCAACTTACCTTCCCACGGAGAGTACAGTGACTTCTCCGTGTCTTGGTCTCTTGGGTTCTTTGGCTCTTTTATTTGGGCTGAAGAGATTCCACCGCTTTTGGCTGCAACGGGAGCAAGCGCCTGTCCCAGCCACGCCCCCAATGGTGTGCAGGTGGTGTCCTCGGCACATGTGTTTTGGCGAAGGACCTCCAGGAGACAAAGGAGAACCGGGACTCGTTGGACTGCCGGGAGTGGTTGGGCTAAATTTTAGGAGCAGAAATGGAAAGCAAAAAAATGAGCGTCGGGGGCAGGCAGTTGACGAATCCAATCCTGCTCTCTTTTCCTTCTTCCTCTTGAGCTCACACTATGGGTGACACCTTGTTTCTAAACAAAAGTTTTTTCCTTCATGACTATTTTCCACAAAGCTTTTGTTAATCCTGAAAGAACAACGCTGTTACAGAATCTGGTCATTCTGCTATAAGTACTTCTAAACCTCCTCCCAGAGGGCAGCAACAGGAACAGACTGTAAAGTGGGGGTACGGGGTCTCTAATAATACTCCGAGCTCTAAGCACATATGAGCGCTTATAAGCTTGTGTCCTGAATAACGGGAAGCGAGCTTCCGATAATCTTCCCGGCTGTCCTCACCACTCTCTCTATGGTCCTTCTATCTGAGGCTCTGCTACCCCCAAACCAGACAGGGATGCAGTTTGTTAAAACGCTCTCCATCCTGCCTCTGTAAAAAGTGGGCCAGGACAGAAGGAGAAAGATGTGTTCTCCTCATCCGATGCAAGAAATGCAAACCTTCACTAAGGATGACATTTGAAGGGACCAAGTCAAGATTGTTAGTTATCTGTACCCCCAGGTACTTTAATACACATCCACAGCTGCAGCCTTGATACAAAGTGGAGTATGACGATGCTGGCTCTTTCTAAAAATCAACAATGATCTCCTTTGTTTATTTGTTTGTTTTTGGTTTTTTTATAAATATTTTATCAATTTTCTAGTTTTACAGTCAAATACTTAATAGACAATATGTTGTCTGGGTCCATTAGTAATTCAGTGGTCTATATTAACTTCTTCAATCTACATCCAATATTACACCATCAAATGTTTCCACTCTTCTTCCAATAGTATCTATTTTCCCACACTAGGCAAAAACAATTCTTATTGTTATTAGTAAATACATAATTGAGTATCAACCTCTTTGTTACATTTTTCTGATAATATCAATAATGTCAGTTTAAGATATCTTTTCTAACCCAAACATATTTTAATTGCATTTGCATTTAATATCCGTATGTTCAATCAGTATCCTGTTTTCTCTCTCTCTCTCTCTTTTTATTTTAATTTCCCCTCAGTGTTCAAAATGTCTCTATTGTTTGTAATTTCAAAGTAAGTTATATTTGGGTAACCAAAAGCTTCCCTTATTCAAATGTCTTAGCGTTTTTCTGTTTCTCTTCTCATGCCAAAATCTAATATTCTAATTACAAATCTTAACTTTCTAGTTATGATAATACTTCTATTTCTAGCAATTATCTATTTTCCACCATCTTCAGACATTTAATAATATAATATCCCATCCTTCTTCCTTTGTTTTATTAACATTCAAAACCAGGTTATTTTTATTGCACCAGTCCACCAAAGCTTGAACTGTCTCCCTATAAGAATCTCCATTATTGTCCTGGATAAGACCCACCACTGCTGTGTCATCTGCATACTGAATGGAATGGAATGGAATGGAATATAGTGTAGTGGGGTTGAGAAGAGTGGAGAAGAGTGGAGTGGAGTGGAGTGGAGTGGAATAGAGTAGAGTAGAGTAGAGTAGAGTAGAGTAGAGTAGAGTAGAGTAGAGTAGAGTAGAGTAGAGTAGAATCTGGAAGGGACCTTGGAAGTCTTCTAGTCTAGCCCCCTACTCAAGGCAGGAGGACCTATACCATCTCAGACAGGTGATTGTCCAGTCTCTTTTTAAAAACTTCCAACAATGGAGCGCTCACCATTTCTGGAGGCAAGCTGTTCCACTGGTTGATTGTCCTCACTGTCAGGAAGTTTCTCCTTAATTCCAGGTTGCTTCTCTCTTTGGTCAGTTTCTAACCATTGTTTCTCATCCTTCCCTCTGGTGCTCTGGTGAATGTGACCCCCCCCTCTTCTTTGTGGCAGCCCCTCAGATACTGGAAGATAGATACTGCTATCATGTCTCCCCTATTTCTTCTTTTCTTTAGACTGGCCAAACCCAAGTCCTGTAGCTGTTCTTCATATGTTTTAATCTCCAGGCCTCTGATAATCTTATTTGCTCTTTGAATTTTTTCCAAGCTCTCAACATCTTTCTTTTTGATATGGTGACCAAAACTGGATGCAGTATTCCAGGTGTGGCCTTACTAAGGTACTAATACTTCATGTGATTTTGATTCTATGCCTCTGTTTATACAACCCAAGATTGTATTAGCTGTTTTGGCTGCTGCTGCACACTGCTGGCTCACAGTCAAGTGATCGTCCACCAGGACTCCAAGGTTCCTCTCACAGTCACTGTTTTTGAGCGAGGTCTCACCCAATCTGTATTCATAATATGATTCGTAGCAAACTTGGCACCGGAGTCGTGGGTCATCAAGGTGAACAGTAACGGACTCAAGTCACAGCCTTGTGGGGAACTTGGCAGACCTGAACCAAATTTTCTACAGTGATAACTGAACGAGCGGATGGATTCAGGAGTTATTCGCTCCACTTTATTTGAGGCTGTTTAAGGAAGAGAGAAAACACGGCAGTGAGATTGCTTACCTTTCTGGATCGCCCACAGAATTATCCGCGACCATGGCTTTCAGCACATCTGCGTTGGCTGCAAAAGTTAGAAATAACATTTAATATTATTCTTACTCCAGGGTTGAGCAGGGTGGGGAACGAGAAGACTGCAAACCCTAAGCCGAATTGAGCCGTTTACTTATGACACAGAATTGGTACAAAATAAGTTTTCCAGTGCGACGTTTTTGCCCACGTACTCAGGAGAAAGCAGAGAAGCACGGGACATCCTGCAAATGGTATTTTTTTTATTATAAATTTTTACAATTTTACAATAAAAACCCCTTTCCCAATCCCCCCCAACCCTCCCCAGAACCCTCCCCCATTCTTCCCAGAGCTGAATACAGGGTTAACTAGAACATAAAAGAAAAAACTTTTAAACTCAAATAAACCTCAAACAAATATGATTACATTCAATAAATGAATTGTTAGGTACTTTAACTCCATTATATATAAAAAACAGAAAGAAAAAGAAGAAAAGAAAGAAAATAAGAAAAATAATCAAAAAAAGAAAAAAAAAGAAAAAAACAAAACTATTCTACACTTCTAAATAATATCTTAAACTATTAAATATAAATTATTCAAAAGCTAAATAATATTTTCTAATATCATACTTATATTGTATAAAATTTATCCATCTTTTCCACACCAAGAGATACTTCTCTTGCGATTGATCTTTCAAAAAAGCCGAATTTTTTGCCATTTCAGATAAGTAAGAAACTTTAAGAAACCATTCCTGCAAAGTAGGCAAAAATTCCTTCTTCCAATATTGTCCTATTAACAACCTTGCCGCTGTAATCAAATTTAACATTAAAATAATTTCTTTATCATCACAATCAGAAACAATACCCAACAAAAACAATTGCGGGGTAAATTTTATCCTTCTTTTGAAAATTCTTTGAATATTCCACCGTATCTTAATCCAAAAAGTTTTTATACTTTTACATGACCCTGCAAATGGTATTTAATACATGTTATTTTAATAACAGGCCTTTTGAAGGTGCACTGTGTCTTTAAAGCAGATTTTAATAACTGGAGAAATTATGCATTGTAGGAAGGCCTACTGAAAGTTACAAGTTTGAACATCTTCCTTATCAAGTGTCACTTCCCAGGAAAAATAAATATAATAAGAAACTACGCTGTTTCCAAGTGTGGCTTGATTTTTTTTTTAGGGGTAGATACACCCCTTCGTGAAATTTTCCTTTCTTCTGAAAAAGGTTCAGTCCTGGCAGGACTGTATCATGAGCTTTTGAACCACTGCAGTATCTCAGCCCGAATGGGTGAGTGGAAATAAGATCAAAGAGCACCAAGGACTTTTGGATTGGGTCCAAAACCAAAAGCAAAAAATGTTTGTCTACGTGACAAATGAATTCAACGGCAGGATTCTTTGGTGCTGAGTGTGGATGTTTTCTTGCAGACGTTTCATGACCCAACTAGGTAACATCATCAATGCGAGAAGGGAGTGGGATTTGATCCCTGCTTACATACAAGCGGCTTGCTCGCAGAAAGCAAACCCCACTCCCTTCTAGCACTGATGAAATTACCTAGTTGGGTCATGAAACGCCTGCAAGAAGACCACCAAGTTCACAGAGTATCAAGAACTCTCTTGAGCTACAAATATTCTGTTATTCTACGTTCTTCTATTGGATTCAACTGCTGTAGGTGCCAGGGAGACATCAAACAATTAATCAACTTTTTTTTCAGTTTCAGGGTGCTGAGAGAAAAACCACTGAGGACCAGTCTTGTTCTTATTTGCAGCCAGAAATGGTTTTCAAGATGCTTTTCATGGTTTCATCTAACACTTTCTTCTGACAAATTCTGGAACTCTGGAAAAATAAATATCTTCCTATCTTCCCCTCGTGTGCGAGCGATGCTTAACAGACCCGTTCACCATTAAAGGTTTAACTCTTCAAAAAGTACTTTTTGTTACAAGCAATTTGCATCTGTGCAGAAGTGAATGTTTAAAAATTCACGTCTGACTTCAGCTATAAATTGAGTAGCCAACTGTAAGTCACGAATTAAAATGCTGGATTTCATCCCTTTACGCTCCTTAAATGCCAAATAAATCTATAGAGTCATTACTAAAAACTAGCTCCCTTACCTTCGTTTTTCATGATATAATCCACTATCTGTCCCACGGTGTCGCTGTTCTCATTGATGCTTTCGTTCAATTCTAAAAATTAAAAAAGCCAAAATTTAACTGTGGTTCCGTGGTTCCTGGAAAGCAACAATGAAACTATGTGACAGCAGCATATTCCAAAACAACATATGAGGCAGAGATTAAAGCCATTATCTCTCAAAACGGCTTGAAGGGGGGGGCAGGGAGAACTGTTATCGTAAGTTGGTATGGCTGAAAAAAGCAAAACTAAAAGATTAAAGGCAGAAAATGTCTTCCTGTTTGTCCTATTTGGAAACTGCGATATAAAAAAAGATGTCGAGACTCTAGAAAGAGTGCAGAGAAGAGCAACAAAGATGATCCGGGGGGCTGAAGGTTAAAAGATATAAGGAACAGTTGCTGGAATTGGGTATGTCTAGTTTAATGAAAAGAAGGATGAGGGGGGACATGATAGCAGTGTGCCAGTATCTGAGGGGCTGCCTCAAAGAAGAGGGAGTCAAGCTATTCTCCAAAGCACCTGAAGGCAGGAGAAGAAGCAATGGATGGAAACTAACCAAGGAGAGAAGCAATCTAGAACTAAGGAGAAACTTCCTGACAGTGAGAACAATTAAGCAATGGAATGCTTTGCCTCCAGAACTTGTGAATGCTCCAACGCTGGAGGTTTTTAAGAAGAGACTGGACAGCCATTTGTCTGAAATGGTACAGGGTTTCTTGCCTGAGTAGAGGATTGGACTAGATAGCCTCTAAGCTCCCTTCCAGCTCTGTTATTCTGTATTCTGTGTTCTTGGAAAGAGTACAGAAAAGGACAACTAAGACAATTAGGGGACTGGAGGCTAAAACATGTAAAGAACGGTTGCTGGAATTGGGTATGTCTAGTTTAATGAAAAGAAGGACAAGGGGGGACATGATAGCAGTGTTCCATATCTCAGGGGCTGCCCCAAAGAAGAGGGAGTCAAGCTATTCTCCAAAGCACCTGAAGGCAGGACAAGAAGCAACGGATGGTCACTAATCAAGGAGAGAACCAACCTAGAATGCAGGAAAACCCAAGCTGTTCCTCTATGCCAGGGGTCTTCAAACTTGGCCCTTTTATGATGACTTGTGGACTTCAACTCCCAGAATTCCTCAGCCAGGCACGCTGGCTGAGGAATTCTGGGAGTTGAAGTCCACAAGTCATAAAAGGGCCAAGTTTGAAGACCCCTGCTCTGTGCCCATATGAATACTGAAACGACTTTTTTTTTAAAAAATGGCTCTTACTTACCTATCTTTTCTCCAAGCTGTTCTTCCTCTGTTTCAGTCGTACATCGATAGCCTTTTTTCTTTAGCACGTGACAAATTAAAACCCCCAACAGCCCCACAAGGAAGAATACCGGAATCAGGAAATAAGCAATATATTCAAGGTGTCCGCCATCTTTGGAAAGTCCGTTTTCAGATTTATTGGTCCCGTTTCCCAAACTGTGGCTCGCCAAGGCTTCAGGGCTTGCTAGGGAAAGAAAAAGGTGAAAAAGGTCACCGGGTTCGTCAAATCTACCCCTTGGACCAGGGCTCTTCAAACCTGGCCCTTTGATGACTTGTGGACCTCAACTCCCAGAATTCCTCAGCCAGCGTGCCTAGCTGAGGAATTCTGGGAGTTGAGGTCCACAAGTCATCGAAGGGCCAAGTTTGAAGACCCTGGCTTCAATCTAACAAACAAAATGGAGGCTGGCTGAGGAATTCTGGGAATTGAAGTCCACAACTCATCAAAGGGCCAAGTTTGAAGACCCGTCTTCAATCTAACAAACAAAATGGAGGCTGGCTGAGGAATTCTGGGAATTGAAGTCCACAAGTCATAAAAGGGCCAAGTTTGAAGACCCGTCTTAAATCTAACAAACAAAATGGAGGCTGGCTGAGGAATTCTGGGAATTGAAGTCCACAAGTCATCAAAGGGCCAAGTTTGAAGACCCCTCTCTTAAATCTAACAAACCAAATGGAGGCTGGCTGAGGAATTCTGGGAGTTGAGGTCCACAAGTCATCGAAGGGCCAAGTTTGAAGACCCGTCTTAAATCTAACAAACAAAATGGAGGCTGGCTGAGGAATTCTGGGAATTGAAGTCCACAAGACATCAAAGGGCCAGATTTGAAGACCCCCCCCCCTGCCTTGGACAATGCAACCTGTCAAACATCTAGAGAACTTTTCTTTTTAAGGAAAGAACTTTTGAGCAAACAAGGTGGACAAATCCGATCTCTCAGAACAAGACGGCTTGGCGTTTCTATATTCATTTCTATATTGATTTGATTTTGCAGACAAGGATCTTCATGTGAGACTTGAATTGTAAAGATCCTAAGGCTGGACTGGAACTCACAGTCTCCTAGTGGTAGGCCCTAAGTCACCCAGTCAGCTTTCATGCCTAAGGCAGGACTAGAACTCACAGCTTCCTGGTGACTGGCCCAAATCCTTTCCCGAGTCATCCTAACTTCATTTAGTCCACATCAAAATCCTAATTTTTAAAGAGAATGAATGTGCCCTCACATCCTTCCTAAAGAGTTATGCACGGCATGCTGAATGCATTCAAATTCCTCTTCCTGGCTTGGAAAATAAATATTTCAGAACAATAGACAAAACTAAAAAGTCGCCAACTTTTCACAAGGCGTACTTCTATAAGTAGCCTTCTGCGTTCCCAGAATACATTCCATATATGCATGATCCTGACTCAAAAATAAAAATCTGAACCAATGAGAGATTGCTACGGAGATTCTCAGTCATCCAGGCCACGGTTCTCCCAAAAATGCTTTTTCAAAAATACCTTTGGAGACAATGAGAGATTGCATTTAATGTCCAAAGTCTGAGAACCTAAGAATTCAGAAGAAATAAACTTGGCTATCACTTGTCTCCAATTTCCCAGACGTAATCCAAATAAAATCCTGTAGAACAGATTACACTATTTTTAAAATAAAAAATAAAAATCAGGGTTTCACTTTTAAAACCACTTTAAATCGTTCCAGAACAGCACAAAAACTCTTCATGTACATATATTTTCTTTTAAACGCTTTTTAGACAAAGTGAAGCTTTTTTCCCCAGAATTTGCTTTGGGGTTTTCATTCCTTGCAAAAGGAAAAGTGCACCCATGGAGAAAAATTAAAGGGGGAAAAAAAAAATGAAACAGTGTAAATTTTAAAAAAAGGAAGTTCTCTTTTAAATAAGCGTCACGTGGTGTGTTATTTCCTGTGTAGGGAAATAAAAGGAAGCTATGAACAAATATCCAAATCCTAGAAGATGAATCAGAAAATGTGTCACCTGAATCCATCATCCACCAGTCAGCACTTAAGTCAATTTCCTTAGAGACCAAAGGTGAAAGCTATAAAATGCAGCAATATTCTCTTTTTTTTTAGTGTCGTTTTTATTTTATTCCGTAAAAAGTTAAGATACAAAACTCAAAAAAAAAAAAATCTTTTTTCAGGAACAAACAAAAAAACAAAAACACGAGATTAAAAAAAAGATACATTAAAAAGCACATATACATGTATATCTCCTAGTAGTTGAATAAAAGACAGTCATATTCTTGATCCTTCGTGCGCCTGTGTAAAGGTAGCAAATGTAATTTACTAATAATTTTAGGTCCTGCTTTCCTATGTAAATAAGGGGGGGAATGCAGTCTAAAAGTCACTGAGACAAACAAGATTGGATGTTGGGTGTTATTTGTTAGTCCCACCTTTTTAAATTTGATTTCTGGAAACTGACCTCTTATACTTTTTTTTTTTTTTGCCTTTCTTTCTTTCTTTCTTTCTTTCTTTCTTTCTTTCTTTCTTTCTTTTTCTTTCTTTCTTTTCTTTCTTTCTCTCTCTTCCTTTATTCCTTCCTTCCTTTCCTTCCTTCCATTCTTTGCTTCATTCATTCATTCATTCATTCATTCATTCATTCATTCATTTTCTACAGCCACTCATCTCAATCCAAATTACAAATCAGTGCCATTCTAGAGGTTTAATCTCTTTTCAATGTGACACTTAATGACTCTTCGAATTTCAAATGCCCCTCTTGCTGACTTAATGAAACACGATTCCCATTTAATTACTGTATTGTTTGGGTTTTATCTGAAAAGGTAGTGCATTGCTGAAAGCCAAGAAAGAAAGAAAGAAAGAAAGAAAGAGAGAGAGAGAGAGAGAGAGAGAGAGAGAGAGAGAGAGAGAGAGAGAGAGAAACAAAGAAACAAAGAAGAAAGATAAGCATTCCAAATTTTAAAGCAAGCCCTGGATAGAACATCCGACAACAAAGTTTCCAAGTTTTGGTTTTTTTAAAAAAAAAAAAGTGACAAAAAGGCATTTTTAAACAAACAACAAAACCCAAACCATACAGAACTCAACTTGAGCAAAAGAGATTGGGGAAAGTTACAGTTTTCCGAGTTAGTTACAGCTATTTTCAGAATGGGATATTAACAAGATGCCGAAATTTTAAAAGAATACCTTGATTTAGAAATGAAGAACAGAAGTAGTTTTATTTAAACATAATAATAATAACAACAACAACCATAACCTCACTAAACCAAATGTATCGAAGGATGAGCTTCCTTCACTCCTTTCAAATACACACCCAAACCATAGACATTTTATGCGCCTCGCTTTTCCGGGAGATTTAAAAATATTTCAATCAATTTAATTGAACTATTCAATATTGTGATGAACCTTAGAGAAGAATTTGAAGAACGAGGAACTTGGGCAAAACTTGGTTAACCTGCTACCGTGTCTCCAACCTTGTTTCTACCGCCCGGACTTGCCTAAAATAACTTCCAATGTTACAAGGCTGTATTAAAAACACAAAGCCTACTCCTTCCAGCCACTGTTAAATCTTTCCTTTGTGCAACTCCAAAACAACATGAGATGCAATTAGGTGGAGAAAATTCCTAAACAAAATCAGATTAATTAGCTGCGATTACAAGCTATTGCATGAGGTGGAACTCTGCTCATAACTGACTGTCCATGAGATCTGAGTAGCATTTTCAGTGCAGGCTGATTCCCGCTGTGTATAGTTCAAACTATCAAATTATTACACTATAACTATTACTATTACTATGCCACACTATACTATTACTACACTATGCACTATACTATATACTCTACACTATTGTATACTATACACTATACTATACTATTACTATATACTACACTATACTATACTATTAATATACTATTGCTATGCTATACACTATATTCTACTATTACTATATTATACTATGCACTATACTATACAGTATATTATGCACAATACTGTTACTATATTACACTATTACTATAGTATACTATAGACTATACTATACACTATGCTATACACTGCATTATGGTATACTATTACTATACAACACACTATACTATTAATATACTATACACTATACTACTTACTATATTACACTATTACTATACTGTATTATATACACTATACATTATGCTATACACTATATTATACTATTACTGTACTATACACTATACTATACTATTACTGCTATATTATACTGTACACTATACTATTACTTTACTACACACTATACTATACACTATACTATTACTATATTACATTATTGCTATACTGTATTATACTATACACTATGCTATACACTATAACTACTGTTACTATACTATACACTATATTATTACTATACTATATATTGTACACTATACTATTACTATACCGCACACTATATACTATATTACTATATTACACTATTACTATACTGTAATATACTATACACAATACAATATGCTATACATTATACCATACTATTACTATACTGTTACTATACTATACACTATACTATATTATATTATACTATTACTATACTACACACTATACTATTACTATATTACAATATTACTATACTATATTATACTACACACTATGCTATACACTATACTATTACTATACTATACACTATACAATTACTATATTACACTATTACTATACTGTATTATACTATACACAATACAATATGCTATACGCTATACCATACTATTACTATACTATACACTATAATATACCATAAACTATACTATACACTATACTATATTATATTATACTATTACTATACTACACACTATACTATTACTATATTACAATATTACTATACTATATTATACTACACACTATGCTATACACTATACTATTACTATACTATACACTATACAATTACTATATTACACTATTACTATACTGTATTATACTATACACAATACAATATGCTATACGCTATACCATACTATTACTATACTATACACTATAATATACCATAAACTATACTATACACTATACTATATTATATTATACTATTACTATACTACACACTATACTATTACTATATTACAATATTACTATACTATATTATACTACACACTATGCTATACCCTATACTATTACTATACTATACACTATACAATTACTATATTACACTATTACTATACTGTATTATACTATACACAATACAATATGCTATACGCTATACCATACTATTACTATACTATACACTATAATATACCATAAACTATACTATACACTATACTATACACTATACTCCACTATTACTACTTCTTCTTAGGTATAGATAGGAGAGCATTATATGGAGAGGCCTATGTCTAACCTGGGCCCCAAAAGGCCTCTGAAGAAGTAGAGAAAAACTGGACAAATGTCCATCCAAGCACAGTGAAGAGTAACAAAGACGATGAGAGGCCTGGAGGCCAAAATATATGAGGGACGGTTCCAGGAACTGGCTTACAGGTCGTCATCAACTTATGACCATAACTGAGCCCAAAACTTCCGTTGCAAAGCAAGACCATAATTGAGTTTCTCCCCGTTTTATGACTTTCCTTGCCACCATTGTTAATTGAACCACTGCAGTCCTTAAGTGAGGAAACACAGCTGTTAAGGCAAACTGGCTCCCCCATGGACGATGCCGGTCAGAAGGTCGCACAAGGTGATCTCATGACCCCGGGAGATGGCAACGGTCCTAAATATGAACCGGTGGCCAAGCGTCCGAATTTGGATCCCGGGACCCTGGGGAGGCTGCAACGGTCGTAAGGGTGAGAAATTGTTTTAAGTCACTTTTTTTTTCAGCACCGTTGTAATTTTGAACAGTCTCTAAATGAAGTGTTGAAAGTCAAGGACTACCTGTAAGTCCAGTCTAACCAAGAGAAGGACTAGGGGTGACATGACAGCAGTCTTCCAATATTTGAGGGTCTGCTACAAAAAAGACTGGGGTCCACCTATTCTCCAAAGCCCCCGAAGGCAGGACAAGAAGCAACGGATGGAAACTAGTCAAGGAGAGAAGCAACCCGGAACTAAGGAGAAACTTCCCGACAATGAGGACCAGTAACCAGTGGAACAACCTGCCTCCAGAAGCTCCAACACTGGAAGTTTTTAAGGAGAGATTGGACAGCCAATTGTCTGAAATGGTCTGGTCTGGTTTCTTGACTGAGCAGCGGGTTGGACTGGATGACCTCCAAGGTCCCTTCCAACTCTGTCATGTTGTATTTTGTATTCTTCTCCTTTCCTCCAAATGTTAAGTAATAGATTTGGACCAATTGTAAAGGCATGCTAAAAAGTGTTTGTGTGTGTGTGTGTGTGTGTGTGTGTGTGTGTGTGTGTGTGTGTGTTTCTCTCCTTAGGAAAGAGAAAAACGAACTAGAAAAACAGAAACCCGAGGGCCATTTCAGGATGAAACCAAATTGCAGCCTACCGAGAAAAGATGTGAAAAATCACAACTCACCTCTCCGAAAGACTGGCCCTTAGGGGGGGTGTGAGCGTGTGAACATTCCTGTCCTTTGCACTACTGTGTAGCAAGCCAGCCAGGCAAGCATCCTACAAGCAGGGTTACTACACATACTCTTTCCTCGAAGATATTCAAATGAATTCTCGGAGTTATTACTTAATCGTGGGCAAGGGCGAACAGCTGCAAAAGTCTGCTAGAAGGGATGTGCCCTTTATGTAAGGGGGGGGGGCGGAAGCTACACAGCAGCTACAACAGCGGGGAAAAATTTTACAAGGGCGTTTGGGAATAACCCTGCCCAGATTAGACACGAGCCCACCCTCCCCCCCCAAAAAGACTCAATTGAAACCAGCCTGGGCATCTTTGCAAGGGAAGTCAATGAAATTGCACCCCAAAGACTTAATTCTGGGGTCACACCAAGTCACCTTAACTGGGAAATGCGAGTTAACGCAAACTTGGGAGTTTCTGTTTTGTGAAGCCAGAGAAAGAAAATTGGGAAGAGGGGATCCCCGCTTCCGGGGTGGGGGAAAAATTGAAGGGAGGGGGTCCTGTTCTCTCCATTCCCCAGTCCCCCATCTACCCACTCACCAAGTCAATTGAGAAAGGGGAGAAAAAGCAGGCAACTTTGCAAAAGGGGCCAAGCGAAAGACAATTGGGGAGAGCGGATCCCCGCCTCCGGGTTGGGGTGGGTGGGGGAACGAGGGGGGGGCAAATTGAGGGGAGGGGGTCCTGATCTCTCCTCCCCCCAGCCACCCACCCACCCAAGTCAATTAAGGAGAGAAAAAGCAGCCAACTTTGCAAAAGGGGCCAAGCGAAAGACAATTGGGGAGAGGGGATCCCCAGTTCTGGGTTGGGAGGGTGGGGGAATGAGGGGGGGGCAAATTGAGGGGAGGGGGTCCTGATCTGTCCCCCTCCAGCCACCCACCCACCCAATTAAGGAGAGAAAAAGCAGCCAACTTTGCAAAAGGGGCCAAGCGAAAGAAAATTGGGGAGATGAGATCCCCACTTCTGGGTTGGGGGGGTGGGGGAACAAGGAGGGGCAAATTGAGGGGAGGGGTCCTGATCTTTCCCCTCCAGCCACCCACCCACCCAAGTCAATTAAGGAGAGAAAAAGCAGCCAACTTTGCAAAAGGGGCCAAGCGAAAGACAATTGGGGAGAGGGGATCCCCGCCTCCAGATTGGGGTGGGTGGGGGAACGAGGGGGGGTAAATTGAGGGGAGGGGGTCCTGATCTCTGCCCCCCCCGCCACCCAGCCACCCACGTCAATTGAGGAAGGGGAGAAAAAGCGGGCAACTTTGCAAAAGGGGCCAAAACAAAGCAAATTGGGGAGAGGGGATCCCCGGCATCCGGGTTGGGGTGGGTGGGGGAACGAGGGGGGGGGAATTGAGGGGAGGGGGTCCTGATCTCTCCCCCCCCCAGCCACTCATCCACCCACGTCAATTGAGGAAGAGGAGAAAAAGCAGGCAACTTTGCAAAAGGGGCCAAAACAAAGAAAATTGGGGAGAGGGGATCCCCCCCTCCGGATTGGGGGGGAACGAGGGGGGGGAAATTGAGGGGAGGGGGTCCTGATCTCTGCCCCCCCCCAGCCACCCACCCACCCACGCAGGTCAATTAAGGAGAGAAAAAGCAGCCAACTTTGCAAAAGAGGCCAAGCGAAAGACAATTGGGGAGAGGGGATCCCCACCTCCAGAATGGGGTGGGTGGGGGAACGAGGGGGGGTAAATTGAGGGGAGGGGGTCCTGATCTCTCCCCCCCCAGTCCCCCACCCTCCCACCCACCCAAGTCAATTGGGGAAGGGGAGAAAAAGCAGGCAACTCTGCAAAAGCGGCCAAGCGAAGGTTTGCAAAGGGATCATAAGGGGGGGGGGGAAGACTCTCACCCTCACTTGGGGACCCCGTTTTCCTCCCCACCCCACCCCCCACCCCCCAGGGCTGCGCTGGACAGCCCGCCCTGCAAACCCACCGAGAGGCCGGACGGAGGTCGCGAGCAGCCGGGCTGGGTCGTAACCGGGCGCAACGGTGGCGCCCGCGGGAGGCATCGCGCAGCGCAACAAAAAAAAAGGTCCTTCCCGTCTTCGGCGCCGCGGCTCGATCCGCTGAACCCGCCCACTCTCCCTCCCTCCCCTGAGGAGGCTCCGCCCACCAGGCCCCGCCCCAGGGCCGGACTGCTGGGCTTGAGCCCGACTGAGCATGCTCCGAGCCCTGGCAGGCAGGGTGGTGCCCGCGGGCGCCCGGTTGACGGGCGAGGCTTTGCAGAAGTTGAGCGGAGGAGCCGTCCCCGCTCTGACGCCGCTTTTTTGGGGGGGGGGGCCTCTGGGGCTTTTCTTGGCTCTTGGGGTGCCCGAGAAGGGAGAGAGTCTGGGGGCAGGTTGCAGAAGTGTTGGGGTGGCGCTGGGGCCCATGCAAGTTTGATTGATTGATTGAATTGCTTGCTTGCTTGCTTGCTTGATTGATTGTTGGTTTTGATTCACTGGTTGCTTCCTGGCTATACAGCAGTGTTTCTCAACCTTGACCATTTTAAGGCATGTGGACTTCAACTCCCAGAATTCCACAGCCAGCAATGCTGGCTGTGGAATTCTGGGAGTTGAAGTCCACATGCCTTAAAATGGTCAAGGTTGAGAAACACTGCTATACAGGCACTCTTGACTTATGGCCACAATGGACCCTGCCCCCAACATTTCTGTGGCTAAACGAGGCATTCATTAAGTGAGTTTTGTCCCAATTTACGACCCATCTTCTTGTGGAAAGGGACGCTTATGAATTCCAGAGGGTTTAGCAGAGAGATTTATTGCACAGGTTCAGAAGCAACAGAGACAAGCAATTCTGAACCCCAGGGCGGGTTCAGACTTCAGTTTGATACATTCCTTTTCTGAGGAATAAAGAACTACACATTACGATACACATTGTATTACATTAGGTTAGTTTCTCATGGGTATACAATGGAGAGTTTGCTACATACATTGTATCCGAGTGCAATGCATATTTGGTGAGTCGCATATTGCTAACACAGCATTATTCCAGTAATTATGCAGACACATCATTATTTTAGTGGTTTTTTTCATTATTCCACATTAATCTTGCCGCCGCAGTGATTCCCTGCCTGTTGTTAAGTTAGTAACACGGTCGTTAAATGAATCTGCCTTCCCCCATTGACTTGGGCTGTCAGAGGGTCTCAAAAGCATGACGGCGGGAGATTGCAAAGGGTTGTAAATGTAAGCCCGTTACCAAGCAGCTGGATTTTGATCATGTGACATAGGGGAATGTTGCGAGGGTTGTTAAGTATGAAAAATGGTCCTGGGTCAATTTTCCAGTGCTGTTGTAACTTTGAACAGCCCTCTCAATTCCTGGCAAATAGATGGGGAAGACATGGAGGTAGTGACAGATTTTATTTTTCTGGGCTCCAAGATCACCTCAGATGGGGACTGCAGCCAAGAAATTAAAAGACGCTTGCTCCTGGGGAGAAAAGCTATGGCAAATCTAGACAGCATACTAAAAAGCAGAGACGTCACCCTGCCAACAAAAGTGCATATGCTCAAGGCCATGGTTTTCCCAGTTGCAATGTATGGCTGTGAAAGTTGGACCACAAGAAAGGCTGAGCGCCAAAGAATGGAGGCCTTTGAACTCTGGTGCTGGAGAAGACTCCTGCGAGTCCCCTGGACTGCAAGGCGATCCAACCAGTCAGTCCTAGAGGAAATCAACCCTGACTGCTCTTTAGAAGGCCAGATCCTGAAGTTGAAACTCAAGTTCTTTGGCCACCTAATGAGAAGGAAGGACTCCCTGGAGAAGGGCCTAATGCTGGGAAAGATGGAGGGCAAGAGAAGAATGGGATGACAGAGAATGAGGTGGCTGGATGGGGTCACTGAAGCAGGAGGCGTGAGCTTAAAGGGACTCCAGAAGATGGTAGAGGACAGGAAGGCCTGGAGGAACATCGTCCATGGGGTCGCAATGGGTCGGACACGACTTCGCAACTAACAATAACAACAAAGTGAACTGTTGTAAGTTGAAGAATACCCTGCACTGTTCCATAGACAAGATCCTGAAAGCTACTGAGGTACATATAGTATTATCAAGATACAAGGAACTACAAAGCTTGTGTGTGTGTGTGTGTGTGTGTGTGTGTGTGTGTGTATACACACATATATATGATTGGCTACAAAATATATGATTGGCTACAAAGAAGCCGAACCTTGCAATAGACAAACCAACTCCTACTAGTCAAATACACACAGCCACAACCTTCCACTGCTTTTCTCTGGCCATCTTCCTCCTAAACCTCTTAGTAAGAGTTGAAATTATGCTAGATGCTTGCCAAAATGATTACTACACTTAAAAACTGTAGCTACGTTTAGGTGCCCTGCACTAAAACATTTATTAAAACATTCAGATGGCTTAAATCAGGGGTCTTCAAACTTGGCCCTTTTATGACTGGTGGACTTCAACTCTCAGAATTCCTCAGCCAGGCACACGTGCCTGGCTGAGGGATTCTGGGAGTTGAAGTCCACCAGTCATAAAAGGGCCATGTTTGAAGACCCTGGCTTAAATTCTTCCAGCAAATCTGAAGGAATTCAAAAGCCTCTTCTAAAGGCAAGGACAAGAAAGCAAGATGTGAAAGCACATCAGAGGACAATCCAGCTATATTGGGCTTCTCTTTTTTCTAAGCCCCCCACCCCCAAAGTCAGCGGGCAGCAGTATAAATTCTCTAAATAAATAAATATTGCACATGACAAGTTTTTGTTTTTTTTTAACTCGGTGGTGGACATTTAGTAATAGTAGTAAAGTTGGAAGGGACCTTGGAGGTCATCTAGTCCAACCCCCTGCTCGGGCAGGAAACCCTACGCTATTTCGGACAAATGGCTGTCCAGTCTCTTCTTAAAAACTTCCAGTGTTGGAGCATTTACTGCTTCTGGAGGCAAGCTGTTCCACTGATTAATTGTTCTAACTGTCAGGAAGTTTCTCCTTAGTTCTAGGTTGCTTCTCTCCTTGATTAGTTTCCACCCGTTGCTTCTTGTCCTGCCTTCAGGTGCTTTGGAAAAATAGCTTAATTCCCTCTTCTTTATGGCAGCCCCTGAGATATTGGAATACTGCTATCATGTCCCCCCTTGTCCTTCTCTTCGTTAAACTAGACATACCCAATTCTAGCAACCGTTCCTTATATGTTTTAGCCTCCAGTCCCCTAATCATCTTTGTTGCTCTTCTCTGTACTCTTTCTAGAGTCTCAACATCTTTTTTACATCGTGGTGACCAAAACTGGATGCAGTATTCCAAGTGTGGCCTTACCAAGGCATTAAAGAGTGGTATTAATACTTCACGTGATCTTGATTCTATCCCTCTGTTAATGCAGCCTAGCACTGTGTTGGCCTTTTTGGCAGCTGCAGCACACTGCTGGCTCATATTTAAGTGATTGTCTACTAGGACTCCGAGGTCCCTCTCACAGTTACTACTATTGAGCATGGTGCCACCTATGCTGTACTTGTGCATTTGGTTTTTCTTGCCTAAATGTAGAACCTTGCTTTTTTCACCATTGAATTTCATTTTGTTAGTTAGTGCCCAGTGTTCAAGTCTGTCCAGATCCTTCTGTATCTGACTTAACCTCTATTTGAAGCAAGTTCTGGAAGCTAGCTTACTTTTTGCAATATTTTATTTATTCGAATAATGAGCCTAAGGTGCAATTTCTGGAATTTTCTTTCCTACGGGACCCAAGGCAGCTACCATATCTCAGCTTTGGAACCAGAAATGGATCTTGCCAACATAGTTCAATAGCCTCCGGTTCTAATCAGCGTTCAGGTGAAAGCTTGTCTATTCTTAAGCTCACCTCAACAATGCCTTTGTTCGTGGGGATACGCCTTCTGCATTCGCTAGCTAGCGCGGGTCTGAAAATTAGAAACCACAAATTATAGCTCAGGAAGAGAGGAAGGAAAAGGATTATTTGTGCTTTAACACCATCTATTATCTGTTCTGGGAGACCCTATAATTAAGCTCTGTCTGAGGAAATAATTGGATAGGCTCAGACACAAAGTCATTTATATGCACTTCAAACGATATAAGTTGGCTTTTGAGATGCTCTCGTGTCCAGGCAGAGTGGCTATTTTTTTTTTTTTTTGAAAAAAAAAGATAAGATATACAATCCCTCAAGATAAGTTCAGCACCAGGATACCTGTTGGCTTCCCATACAGGTAGACCTTACCTTATGACCATAATTACGCTCAAAATTTCTAAGCAAGACAGTTGTTAAGTTTTGCCCCATTGTGTGACCTTTCTTACCACAGTTGTTAAGTGAATCAGTGCAGAGGGGTTAAGTCAGGGGTCTTCAAACTTGACCCTTTTATGACTTGTAGACTTCAACTCCCAGAATTCCTCAGACAGCGTGCCTGGCTGAGGAATTCTGGGAGTTGAACTCCACAAGTCACAAAAGGGCCAAGTTTGAAGACCCCTGTCTTAAATCTAACAAACAAAATGGAGGCTGGCTGAGGAATTCTGGGAATTGAAGTCCACGAGTCAAAAAAGGGCCAAGTTTGAAGACTCCTGGTTGTTAAGTGAATCTGGCTTCACTTAACAAAAGGTCGCAAAAGGGGATCACGTGACTCCAGGACACTGCCACTGTCGTAAATATGAACCACTTGCCAAGCATCTAAATTTTGATCATCTGACCATGGGGATGCTTCAGTGGTCATAAGTGTGAAAAAACGGTCACAAGTCATTGAACAATCATTAAACAAATTATTGTAAGTCGAAGACTACCGGCATAAGCAAATTTTATTACCGTCCTGGATTGGATACCATCTTATTATACAATCCTAGGTGGCATAAACAGAAACATAGAATCGAAATCACGTGAAGTATTAGTACCGCTTTATAAAGCCTTAGTAAGGCCACACCTGGAATACAGTATCCAATTTTGGTCACCACATTACAAAAAAAGATGTTGAGACTTTGGAAAAAGTGCAAAGAAGAACAAAGAATTCAACAGTTCTAAGAAAGAGTGCAGATTTATATCTGCAAAGATATAACTCCTTCCATCCCCTACCATTCAGTCAGAACTGAAGAAGCTTTTTGGATGAGAAACAAGGAAATTCTTCCAAGAAAAACAAAGTCTTCC